ATCAAGCTCTTGATTTTTGCTCCTGCTGCCTTCCACGTCCTCCAAATCTCCCAGCGTTACTGGTGCGCAGACTACGAGTATTGTTGTTGTTTTTTAAAGTGATTACAGACTTGTTTTAATATCTTTTAATATAAAGTTTCAAGCAAGTATAATTTCATTTCATCATAGAAACAAAACTTTTTGGTTTTCAACAAAGTCAATTTTCTTCTAACGGGAAATTATTTATTTCAAAAAAATTTTATCAAAATTTATTAGCCACTGAAACTTGCATTGAGTAACTAGAATTTAAAAAAAAACGAATCAGAGCTAGCTCTCGAAAAAAACTTTGTAGCGTCTAAAGAAGGTCTGATTTTGGCTTCCCTACATTGGTAAAATTTTCAGACATTGCCGATAGAGGTGCATCCAGCCTTTGACATACGGTTATATAAGTTTGATTAAAGTACCAGGTAACAGTTTTTTTATTTAAAAAAAAACAAATTTTTTGGATGAACATGTTAGTTTTCCCACTCAACCATTAGGTTTCCATACCTAAAATAGGGTTTACCTAAAATGACTTAAGAAGTCGAAAATTTACTAGGCTAAGTATCTGATACTCAAATTGGGAGAAAAACTGAAATCATACTTACAGTTTTCATTTTGCGCAGAAAAAACTACAAAGTTTTTGTGATGTAACTTTGAAACTATTTTTCAATGTTTTCGATGTCTGGTTGCATCTATAAGAACGCCAGTAATAATTTTTTCATTCAGAGAAATTGTATGATTGCTTTTTTTGCTTTAAATTTTTAAGACTCAAAACGAAACCTTAACAATTATGCAAAAACCAGAAAAAATTTTCAAGCTGAGCTAAATTTGATCTCAATTTATTCAAATGTTTACAAGACGTTTTTTTTCTCAGCGAAAGGAATGGCCAAACAATGACAGTTACTAAACGTTCAGCAACCTTATAAGCAAAATGCATTCGAAACGACCTCAATGAAGATGTCTTACCCACATAATACAAGGAAAGTTGGAAAAAAATTTTCATAGTTAGAGGTTTTTTTATTTTGAAAATTTAGTTTTAATTATGCATTGCCCGAAGCATTGTATGCATTGCCCAAAGCATACAAACATACGCAATGCAACATAGATAGAATTTTGGAGTGTTTTGAAAGAAGTGTTTTGAAAGAAATATGGGAAGACGGTAATTAAATCAGTTTTGTGCATGCAAGACTACGTTATGGAATCAAATATTCATAGTAGAGAAACAACAAAATTTCGTCGGACAGATTTGAAACTTTTTCATAACATTTTCGATGTCGCATCTTTAAAAAATGCTAGTTTCACTGTTTCAATGTAAGAAATTTGTATGATTTTCTTTTTTGCTTAAAAAACATTTTTCGTCTATTTATGAAGATGCACGGAATTTTATACCAAAACAAGAAAAAGTTCTTTCAAATTTCGATAACACGGTTTTGGCAGAAATTTATGATAATTGTATGAATAGCATTTTTCTTAGACTAAGATTATTGAATTACATGGCAAGCACTTCCGATCTATGGAGATCAAGCCGATCACTCTGTATGAAAGCAGGTTGAAAGAATTACTTGGCACATTCTGGCAAAACTCACAAGAGTTTCTAGATCCAATAGCAGCTAAAAAAACGAGCGAAAGTCAGCTAAATTTGAAAACCTTACGAAACGCACCTACTTTTCTCAAGGTTCTCAATTTTATTCTTGAGAAACCCAAAGTTTTGACCAAAATCCACTGATAATCTGAATGAATCATATAAACGAAATATCAATCCGATGGCGCTTAAGAATCAAAAAGATTTTTGTGAACAAAATATCTTCAATCGGAAACTATAATCTCAACAATTTAAAACGTTTAGTTAAAGTCGCATCTAGAAAAAACTCTAGTCTTATTGTTTTCATTTATAGAAATTTTATGATTGCGTTTTTTGCCTTAGATTTTTTAATTCAAAAGAAAACAAACAAATAGGCAAAAACAAAAAAAATCTCAAGCTGTGCGAAGTTTGATCTCAATATATTCAAGAGATTACAAGACGTTTTTCTCAATCGAAGGAATTGCCAAAAGTTGACTGTTACTGAACGCTCAGCATCTTTAAACGCAGAACGCATTCGAAACGACCTCAATGAAAATTTCTTACACACATAGTACAAAGAAAGTGATGAACCTCTAAAAAAGGGCAAAAATTTTTATAGATGGAGTTTTTTGAAAAATTAATTTTAATTAAAAATAGCCCCAAGCATACAAACATACGCAATGCAAAACAAATAGGCTTTTGGAGCGTTTTTGAAAAAATTCATTCGAAAAGAGGGTAGGTAAATCATTTTTGTGCGTGCAGGACTATGTTATGGATTCAAAAACTCATAGTACAGAAAGAACAATCTTTTGACGGACATTTTTGAAACTATTTCATGTTATTTTAGATGTTGCATCTTTAAAAAACGCTATTTACACTGTTTAAATTTAAAAAAGTTTGTTTGACTTACTTCTTTTGCTTAAAAGACTCTTTTAACTTCTTTTTACTTACTTCTTTTGCTTCTATCTATGAAGATGAACGGAATTTTATACCAAAACAAGAAAAAGTACTTTCAAATTTCGATAACACGGTTTTGACAAAAAATTATTAAAATTGTATGACTAGCATAATTCTTAAACTTAGATTATGGAATTACATGGCAAGCATGTACAATTTATGGAGATCAAGCCGATCACTCTGTATGAAAGCAGGTTGAAAGCATCTGGAGTTTCTAGATCCAATAGCAGCTATTTAAACGAGCGAAAGTCAGCTAAATTTGAAAACCTTAAAGAACTCACAAACTTTTCTCAAGGTTCTCAAATTTATCCTCGAGAAACCCAAAGTTTTGACCAAAATCCACTGATAATCTGAAATAATCATAAATACGAAATATCAACCAGATAGCGTTTAAGAATCGAAAAGATTTTTGTGAACAGAATAAATTCAAACGGAAAGTATAATCTCATCAATTTAAATTTGTTCATTTTTGTTTTAAGTGAAATGACTGATACATAAATGAAGTATTTCCTGCAGGTTAAGCTTTTATAAATCGTTATTGATTTAGTAGATCAAGGAATAAATTGTAGATCAAGGAATTGTTATATTGTGTTACATAACTTCACATTGTTACTGTTATTTTGCAATTCGTACCTAATTCTGATGTTATTTACGTAGTCCGATCTTGTTTCAGTTTCGTGATATGGCTGTTTGTAGATAAGGTGGTTTGATACTTTTCCGCCAAATCAGCATAGGGATAGTTAGAAAATAGGGTGAAATACTTTGCACTAAATATAAAAAATAGGGTAAAATAGCATTGAGCAGTTTCTGGTTAAAATTAAAATGAAAATGAAATGGATTAATATGTCATGCTCCAAACTATTAATGTGCATTTCTTAATTATACTTATTTAGAAATTGAGAGTGCAATTATAGTGCAATTAGTGAGAAAAGTTTTACAGTTCAACAAAGGAAAACATTTAGTTCAATGAGGTTCAAATTGGTCGATGAGGGCTAGTTCACTTGGTCGATGAGGGGAATGAGGATAGTTCACTTGGTCGATGAGGGGACGGAGGATAAAACACTTGGTCGATGAGGGGGCGGAGGATAGTTCACTTGGTCGATGAGGGGGCGGAGGATAGTTCAATTGGTCGATGAGGGGGCGGAGGATAGTTCACTTGGTCGATGAGGGGGCGGAGGATAGTTCACTTGGTCGATGAGGGGGCGGGGGGTAGTTCACTTGGTCGATGAGGGGGCGGGGGATAGTTCACTTGGTCGATGAGGGGGTGGGGGATAGTTCACTTGGTCGATGAGGGGGCGGGGGATAGTTCACTTGGTTGATGAGGGGGCGGAGGATAGTTCACTTGGTCGATGAGGGGGCGGAGGATAGTTCACTTGGTCGATGAGGGGACGGAGGATAAAACAATTGGTCGATGAGGGGGCGGAGGATAGTTCACTTGGTCGATGAGGAGGCGGAGGATAGTTCAATTGGTCGATGAGGGGGCGGAGGATAGTTCACTTGGTCGATGAGGGGGCGGAGGATAGTTCACTTGGTCGATGAGGGGGCGGGGGATAGTTCACTTGGTCGATGAGGGGGCGGGGGATAGTTCACTTGGTCGATGAGGGGGTGGGGGATAGTTCACTTGGTCGATGAGGGGGCGGGGGATAGTTCACTTGGTTGATGAGGGGGCGGAGGATAGTTCACTTGGTCGATGAGGGGGCGGAGGATAGTTCACTTGGTCGATGAGGGGGCGGAGGATAGTTCACTTGGTCGATGAGGGGTATGAGGATAGTTCACTTGGTTGATGAGGGGGCGGAGGATAGTTCACTTGGTCGATGAGGGGGCGGAGGATAGTTCACTTGGTCGATGAGGGGGCGGAGGATAGTTCAATTGGTTGATGAGGGGGCGGAGGATAGTTCACTTGGTCGATGAGGGGGCGGAGGATAGTTCACTTGGTCGATGAGGGGGCGGAGGATAGTTCACTTGGTCGATGAGGGGGCGGGGGATAGTTCACTTGGTCGATGAGGGGGCGGGGGATAGTTCACTTGGTTGATGAGGGGGCGGAGGATAGTTCACTTGGTCGATGAGGGGGCGGAGGATAGTTCACTTGGTCGATGAGGGGGCGGGGGATAATTCGTTTTGTCGATGAGGGGGCGGGGGATAGTTCACTTGGTCGATGAGGGGGCGGAGGATAGTTCACTTGGTCGATGAGGGGGCGGAGGATAGTTCACTTGGTCGATGAGGGGGCGGGGGATAGTTCACTTGGTCGATGAGGGGGCGGGGGATAGTTCACTTGGTTGATGAGGGGGCGGAGGATAGTTCACTTGGTCGATGAGGGGGCGGAGGATAGTTCACTTGGTCGATGAGGGGGCGGGGGATAATTCGTTTTGTTGATGAGGGGGCGGGGGATAGTTCACTTGGTTGATGAGGGGGCGGGGTTATAGGAGATTGTTCACATGGACCCTCAAACAGTCGGCACATTTTATGGCATCAACTCCTCTCGCTCGTCAGTGGTTTGCTCGGAGGAGTACTCCTTGAGGGGTGGGGTCGTTGCATTGAAGCTGTCACTGTTCTTCAGTTTGTTATCATCTACGATATCAACCGACTCGCTTGCGCCGGAGAAGTAAATACGAATTCCAGGTGGGTTTTGTCCTGACGAAGCTTTCCATCTGTTAACATTTCAGGGGCTGTTGTGGAGCAAACATTTTTAAAAAATTCCATGTTGTTGCCAGATAATTTTTTTGGCTCTTTTTCCTGCTCCCCACCACCTGCAAAGTTTTACTAGTGAAATTTTGTTCACGTTATCCGAATGTTACAAAAATTGGCACGCAAAATGATTAGGCCATGACAAACATATTTGGTCTTCATATTTAACCTTGTAAAACCCCTCGTTACAACATAAAATTTATGCTTATGTGAGGTAGGGAAAAAAGAAAAAGAGCCAGTTTTTGACCGACACTGTTAAGTAATGTTATCTATGAGCCAATTTCTGTAACCTTCTCACTTGATCAAACATTTGCTTGAGCTGTAATTGTTTTGATTTTCGAAGCCAATAATTTACACCGTTCTTCGTTTTCTCATTCACTGGCAAAGAATAAGAAAATTATGTTTCCCCCTAAGAATTTGAATAATTAAAGTTATTATGGTTCCGAGTTTCGAAGAAAACGGAATATTTATGCTCGGTGTGGTTTCTTTTTCAGTCAAATTTCGCCGATCGAAATATTAGTTTTGGAGAAATTTTTTTTATACCCCATTGAAGATATTGACTTCCTGAGTTCAAATTTAAAAAGATATTTTAAATAGCCTAGATTTAGTTAACTTCTGATCAAAATTAAGATAAGAAATAAAGAATTTTAAGAAAATCCCTGCTTTATTTAAACATTTCAAAAGGAATTTCTGACCAGAAATTAGATTAGATATAAAGTATGTCAGCTCAAAAATAAAGTTTTTTCTCGCTACGGGCTTGGAGATGAGGGGGCGAGGGATAGTTCACTTGGTCGATGAGCGATGAGGGGGAGGGGGATAGTTGTTCGGTCAATGAGGGGGCGGGCGATAATTCACTTGGCCGATGAGAGGGTGGGCGATGTAAAGTTCTGGGGGTTTTGTAAAGTTCTGGGGGTTTAAAAATTGCCAAATTGGCCATGTTCTGGACTAAGTTATTTGCGTTTTGCAGAGTTGATTGATAATGCTCAGAGCGTAACGCGATTTGTTTATGCGTGCCAAATTATCCCACAAAACAAGATCGTTCCAAAATGAATTGAGGCCAGCTAACCAGATCGGTCGTATTAATTTCGTACGACTCAACATTTCATACTTTGATATTATCCAAAATTTATAGGTTTTCAGTATTTTATTTTCCCAAAAACTACTCGAGATGAATTAAGGGACAGTCGGAATTCTCAGGGTGTTGCCCTGATATACGAGCAGTCGGCTCTTTTTCCTTGCCCCCCCACCTCACACGACCTTCAATATATTAGTGTAACGAGTGGTTTTACGAGGCTGAGTATGAAGATCAAATATGTTTTTCGTGGCAGGTGGGGGGAAAATAAAAAAAAACCGAGCGGTCTTCCTCTGGAAAAAAATTGTTTCGTGAGAAAAATTACGTCAGATATTGTGTTGATTCTTTTCCGACTGAACAATCTTATTTAAGATCGAACCACTTTCGATACAAAATAAAAAATTTTAGTATAGTAGTTATCTTTGGGCCCAATGAAGTATGCCAAATGAAGTACTTCTTCACTGTTCTTATCGCATTCTGATCTCGTGGCACATGATTACAAAACTATGTTTTTGCTTAAGGAAAATGAAAATTTTAAAAACTTTATGTGAAAAAATGGAGTCGGATATTTCGTTAATCAGCTTCCAATGACGATACAAAAAAATAAATTTCAGTTTTTGGATACGAAACAAGATCGCTCCCTAAAAAGTCTTGAAATTTCCGACAGCATTTTTAGGTCAATTAAAATTTTTTGAATGAAAAATTGATAAAACAACAACAACAAAAAAATATAAAGCAAGACTGCTCGTATCAGGGTATTCGACCCCCTGCCGACCCAAATTCTACCTTTGTTACTATTTTAAGATCTGCGTAAGCTTTGAGTGACTGGCCCCAAAAATTTTCTGAAGGCGCTTTGAACGCTCATATATATTAATTTAGAGGGGAAGTGACGACAAAAGCATAGTTTTTTTGTCAAAATTTTCCAATAATACTTCAATACTTTTTTACAGTATTCTCAGATTTAGGACTAAAGGAGGCTGTGTTCAACTTTCAAATACTCTTATCTTTAAGCCCTATTGAAACTTTTGGTCGACCTTGATATCTTGGTAAAATTGGTCGACCTTGATAACGTAAAATTGGCCAATTTCTGAAATGAACAAGACTGCTCGTATCAGGGCGAAGCCCTGAATGTTCCAACTGCCTTTTAAGGTTTATGGAGCGGTAATAACATTACAAAATTAAATGAAATAAAAAAAAGAAAATTTTTTTTTCTAAAATTTGAAACTTTTTATGAAAATAATCCCCCCATACGCACTATAAAGTACAAAAGGATAAATTTCGCTCCTTGTAACAAATCAACTTTGGCAAATAAGCTTCTTTCAACCAATTTGGAACAATTTTTAGGACGGATTAACTCTCCGCTTGCGCGTTAATAGAGCGAAATATATCGCGCGTTAATTGTCCCAAATTCGCCAAAATGGCTATCTTTAAACCCCCATAACTTTACGAAAAATGATCACAGGTGAAATATCTTTTCAAATTTGAGCTCAGGACAACAAAACCTTTTGAATGATTTTTTAAAAAATGCCGTCAAAAATGGCTAGTTAAAAAGTCGAAATTTGTCTGAGGAAAAAACCCACCCCGAGCTCAAATATTCCGTTACTTTCGTATCGAAATTCGAAACAAACAAAAATTCGCTCATAGTTATTGCTGCTAAGTTTGAAATGTGATAAATTCAGCTAAGTTATCACGCCTAGTTTGAATGCATTTTTTGCTGATAGTTAAGTAGCTTAAGATTGAGTTGCTTAAGTAGCTTAAGAAATTCGAAGATGAAACATGGAAAAAAGTTTGGGATTGGTTGCAAACATCTAGAGTAGGCTAATCGTACCTAGACGCTTTGATTTTTCTCCCGACGAAAAGAAGGACTGTGAGACTGAATCCAATGCCAACAACAACAACAACCCAAGGCCAGTGGTTGAATTTGCTTTCGCTCTCATCTTCGTATTCTTCAAGATATTGGCCCCAAGACTCACCACTGTATGGATTTGAATGATAAGCTTTTTCGGGTTTTTCGGTGTATGGATTCCAATATCCGCCTAAAATTCATAAAATGTACAAATTTCACATACACTCAATCAAAAAAATAGAATACGAAAATTAAGTTAAAATTTAAAGCTAAACAGAACTGCTCGTATCAGGGCGAAGCCATGAATGTTCCGACTGCCTTTTAAGGTTGTATCCAGCAAAAATAAGATTAAAAAATTTAATGTAATTAAATAAAATGACATTTTTTTCTCTAATTTTTTTAAAAAAATAAATATCATCCCCCAAACGGCATATAAAATACAAAAGGATAGATTTCGCTCCTGTAACAAGTCAATTAAGGTAAATAAGAATCTTTCAACCAATTTGGAACGATTTTAAGACGGATTAATTCTCCGCTTACGCGTTAATAGCGCGAAATATATCGCGCGTTAATTGTCCCAAATTGACCAAAATAGCAGTTTTAAACCCCCATTGTTTTACGAAAAATAGTCACAGGTGGAATAACTTTTCAACTTTGAGCTCAGGACAACAATGCCTTTTTAATGATATAAAAAAATTCCGTCAAAAATGGCTAGTTAAAAAGTCGAAATTTGTCTGAAGAAAAGAAAAAACCCACCCCGAGCACAAATACTCCGTCACTTCCGTATCGAAAGTCGGAACAACAAGACTGCTCGTATCAGGGCGAAGCCTTGAATGTTCCGATTGCCTTTTAAGGTTTTATGGAGCAGTAATAACATCGAAAAATTAAATGAAATAAAATAAAATGAAACTTTTTTTAATCTAAAATTTGAAAAATTTTTTTAAAATCATCCCCCCACAAGCCATATAAAGTAATAAAGGATAAATTTCGCTCCTTGTAACAAATCAATTATGGCAATTAAGCTTCTTTCAACCAATTTGGAGCGATTTTAAGACGGATTCACTCTCCGCTTGCGCGTTAATAGCGCGAAATGTATCGCGCGTTAATTGTCCCAAATTGTTCAAAATTGCAATCTTTAAACCCCCATAACTGTACGAAAAATGATCACAGGTGAAATATCCTTTCAAATTTGAGCTCAAGGCAACAATAGCTTTCGAACGATACAAAAAAAAATTCCGTCAAAATTGTTTAGTTAAAAAGTCGAAATTTGTCTGAAGAAAAAGAAACCCACCCGAGCACAAATATTCCGTTACTTTCGTATCGAAAGCCGGAACAATAAGCTTCTTTCAATCAATTTGGAACAATTTCTTAGACGGATTAAATCTCCGCTTATGCGTTAATAGCGCGAATTATATCGCGCGTTAATTGTCCCAAATTGGTCAAAATGGCAATCTTTAAACCCTCAAGATTTACGAAAAACTATCACAGGTGAAATATCTTTTCAAATTTAAGTTCAGGACAACAATAGCTTTCGAATGATTTATAAAAATTTTTGTCGAAAATGGCTAGTTGAAAAGTCGAAATTTGTCTGAAGAAAAAAAACCCACCTCGAGCACAAATATTCCGTTATTTTCGTATCGAAAGTGGGAACAATAACAAAGTGATTGAGTTTGACCTGTGCTTGGTAGAGTAATAACACTTGCAACGATAGCTTTAGAAAGTTCTAGTCACAAGGTTTTGAAATGCGGTGATGTTATGATGGGTGGCAATTTTGAGAAGTTTTTGAGAAGAGCAACTTAAAAAAAATGATTATTATAATGCATATATACAGTCATTTATCTTTAGATCAATTGTATGCTAGTAAAATTGTAGTTTTTGTAATAAAAATTACTCTGTAGATATGTAATTCCAAAACTCAAACTTTACATTTATTTTGCCAAAATTTGGCAATGAAATAAGTTATAAATATTGTTCGAAGTATAACAACTCCAGCTTTTGGAGCTAGTTAACTACCCCCCTTTGGGGGCGGGGGCGGGTGGTTGTTAACAAGAAACAAAATTTGTGTATGCTTAACTGTGCGATTCTTTTTTAAAGGGAGGGGGGATTCGTTACAAGGTACCAGGGGGGTAGTTAACAAGATCCCAGCTATTAAACATGCATCTGCCAGCTATTGCAATAAATCACCCAAAATTCTACTTCTTGTCATGACATTTTGAAGTCTTGAAGCGCAGTGGCTTTTAAAGCATCAAGCTTTTTTACAGATGATTTGCAAAAAACCAGGAAAGCTGCTTCAGCATCATTCTCCTGGGACCCAATGCTAGCTCAGTTCGGGAATTTTGAATCGAGCAAAAACGAGTGTGTGTGTGTGTGTGTGTGCGCTTGCGCGGCCATCAAAAATCCGTTCAAAATATTTTCAGTTTATACTCGAGTAGTCCAACATCAACCAGAATTTTCTGCTGTGATATGTGCCAGTGACCATATTTTGCGCAAAGTCTAAGCTTTTAAGATCAAATACTTTTATGCGATAAACTGCTTACAACATGGTTATTCTACATGACTCATTTGGTTCCTTTAAGCCCATTGGTATGTATTCCGCTTATAGTATTCGCCAAAAATGGCTCTTTTTTTCAGATCAGTTTTCAAGTCTGCATTTTCAAATGTCGATTGTCGAAAGTTGAAGTTTTGTTGACTTGAAACAGTTCAGAGTGAGTGCTTCTTTTTAGCTCGCTCTGGGCATCGAAACCGATTCTATTTTTCAGTAATAATTAAGTCGTGAAATCCAGTGTGAGTTTTTGAGTTCCTCCCTGAATTTCAGAAAAAGAACCTCAAAATTGTTGATTGATTGTCCGTTCGGTTTTGTACACAGCTTGTTTCGAGACATTTTTTGTATACACTGAATTTATGGAGAACAAAAGAAGAACAAAAGGAGCATCCTTGTTGCGTAATCCGCTTTCAATTCACAAAAAACACAGTTTGGACTCGTAATGGTCATAATTAGAGATTGGTTCAAACAAAATCATTTGAGCCGATGACTGAATAGCCAAAACCTTTGGGAAAAATTTAAGATGGTAAGAATGCCATTTGTGGTTGAAGAAATATCGCTTCGTACAGACTGTATAAGAAAAAACCTAGGCTGCGTAGTGCTTCTCGTAAGCTGATAACCAGACTGCTCGTATCAGCCCTGAATGTTCCGACTGCCTTTTAAGGTCTTTGGAGCAGTAATAACATGAAAAAATTGAATGTAAATAAACAAATGAAACTTTTGTTCAAAATTTGAGATTTTTTGTGATAATCATCCCCAACACGTCATATAAATTTCAAAGTGATAGAATTCGCTTCTATTAACAAATCAATCAAGCTGCATTCAAAAGACGGGTTAAATCTCCACTTACAAGTTAATAGCGCGAAATCTATCAGGAAAAGCCCTGAATGTTCCGACTGTCCCTTAATTCATACTGAATAGTTTTTGTGAAAAAAAAATATTGAAAACCTATACATTTTTGACAATATCAAAGTGTGAAATGTTGAGTCGTACGAAATTAATACTAAGGATCCAATTAGCTAGCCTTAATTCAATTAGGAATGATTTTATTGAGCGGGATAATTAACCAAGCAGTAAATATTCGCGTTGTGCTCTCAGCATTATGAATACAATCTTCAAAGCGCGCATAGTTTGGCCCAAACATAGACATTTTGACAAATTGTAAACCCCCAGAACTTAACAAAAAAATTTCAAGGCAAAAATTTTTTTTTTCTGAATTTGAACTCAGGAAGTCAATATCTTTAATGGTGAATAAAAAATTTTTGATCGTCGAAAATTGATTGAATAAAAAAACCACACCGAGCATAAATGTTCCAATTTCTTCGAAAGTCGGAAAAATAATCGACTAAATTGTGATTTCAGTACCAATCTTACTAAAATTGAGAAAAAATTGATTTCAATCAATTTATAATTGAATATAATTTCTCTGTTTAAAATCAAATTCTTATCAATTAAAATACATTTTAAAGGTTTTTAATCAATTATTTCTCCATCTATTTTACGAGTCAATTGTAGTCGATTATTTTTATCCGGATTTGTAATTCCATTTTTGCAGAAAAAAATTCATTATAATCGATTATAATAACTTTTGTTTGCCCATTTTGTTTTCAATCTTACATCTGAGTTTCTTATATTTTATGCTTTTTGTGCACGTTTGTTAATGCGAAAAATGGGAAAATGTTTTAACAGTTTTCAAATCAATTCAAATTTATAGCGTTTTTTTTCATTCCTTCACAACTACAGTTATTTCATGATGCACATTTTAAATTTTTTTGAAAACCACCAAATCAACACACTGCTGTAGTTTAATGATTTGTTTAGAAAAGTTGCTTTTCAATTACTCTGGGAACCTTTCAACTAACATGAAGATATCTTTATAAAAACTACTTTTCTTGGTAAAACTTTTTGTTCAGATGAGCTGCAGTATGATAAGACATATCAGTTTTCATATTATAAGGGATTGTGAAAAATTCTTGGAAAAATTTAATCAATTATAATTAGGCATAAATTTTTAATTTGTCACAAAAAATGTGAACATTTTAGTAGATTATAAACCGTTTGAACATATCTAAACTTGGCGCTGATGGTGAATTGTAGTTTCGATAAAAGTACAAATGTAATTGTAATATAATTGATTATTTTCTCTTTTTACGGAGTGCGGGCGAGCTTTAAGCCGAACTTTAAGGCGAGCTTTAAGCGAACCTTAGAAAAAATGATCACAGCTGATTTTTTTTTCAAATTTAAGCTCGGGACAATAATATTTTTTAGAAAGATTAAAAAAAGCCGTCAAAAATGTCTAGTTAAAAAGTCGAAGTTTGTCTGAAACCCCCCCCCCCCCCCCCCGAGCACAAATATCCTGTTACTTTAGTTACAAAAGTCGGAACAATACTAAAATGTATAAACGAAAAATTACAGAGCTTCTGACACTCAAGCAACGCAATGCCCGAGTGTGGTTATCGATTGATAGCAAAACTGAAACAAGGCTGCTCGTATCAGGGCCAAGCCCTGAACGTTCCGACTGCCTTTTAAAGTTTATGGAGCAGTAAGAACATAAATATCATTAACAATTTAAATGTAATAGAAAAAAAGATTTTTTTTTAATTTAAAATTTTCTCTAAGAAAATCATCTACCCACGCGCCATATAAACTACAAAAGAATAAATTTCGCTCCTTGAAACAAACGAATCATGGCAAATAAGCTTCTTTCAACCAATTTGGAACGATTTCTAGGACGGATTAAATCTCCGCGTACGCGTTAATAGCGCGAAATATATCGCGCGTTAATTGTCCCAAATTGGCCAAAATAGCAATCTTTAAACCCCCAACTGCCTTTCAAGGCCTATGGAGCAATAATAAAGAAAAAAATTTCAATGTAATAAAAAAAATTTTAAAATTTTTTGAAAAAATTTGAGATTTTGTTTAAAAACATCCCCCCACACGTCATATTAAGGACCAAGTGATAGATTTTGCGCCTATTAACAAGTCAATTGTGGCATATAAGCTTCCTTGAACCAGTTTGGAAAAATTTCCAAGACGGATTAAATCTCGCCTACGCGTTAATAGCGCGAAATTTATCGCCTGTTAATTGTCCCAAATGGGCCAAAATGGCAATCTTTAAACTTTACAAAAAATGGTCACAGGTAAAATATCTTTTCAAATTCAAGCTCAGGACAACAATAGCTTTTGAATGATAAAAAATTCCGTCAAAAACGGCTAGTTAAAAAGTCGAAATTTGTCTGAAGAAAAAAAAACCCACCTCGTATCGAAAGTCGGAACAATAATATTATATCAAAATTTTTTCCTCTATTGAAGGAAAAATTATATGAAAAAAAATTTCGAGCTGATGAAAAAATAACAAAATTGTTGATTGAGAAAGACTGTATGCAAGCCATTATTGAATGAATATTTTTCGTTTTGTACAAAAATAGAGTTGCTGAATGGAGAAATCTGAATCACAATGATTTTTTTTCATTGTGGAGCACGGTTTTTGTGCTAAGAAGATGGTTTATAATTGCATGCTGTGCGTCACCAGCCACATGAATTTTTGTGGAGTCTTTCATACAAGGTGGGAAAGCCAGCCAATAACGGCTCCGAAATTGCACTCTATATGCACGAAAGGATTGAATTAAATCAATTCATCTGTAACGCTCAATTTCATAGAAATGCGTAGTTTCTTAGCTTTTAAGGAAAGATAGTTATGTAAGGTTGAATATTTGTGTGCATTTGATTTGTTAAAATTTGTTCTTGTGGTCGTTGTCAAAATCTTTCGTGTTTTGAAGCCCTTAAAATTTCGGTTTGGTTATAGACGCTGGACTTGGTGGACCTATTCAAGCATTTAGTGCTATAATGGCCTTCCACGAAAGAAATTAACAATTACTTAGTTTTCCTGAGTTTTTTTCATTTTTTTCCGCATGGTTATCGGATGCCCTGGTTTTGGGCTATTTTGATGACTAGACTGCAAAATAATAACATTGGCGTGCGGGTTCTTCTGGTTAGATAATCTTGAAAGTTGCTGTAATACCGTGTTTTTTTAGTCTCTGCGCATTTTTTGTTCGATTTTTCGAATATGACAATGGGTTGCCAGATTCCGCAATTGCAAATAGATTTTCCATTTTTTTTTAAATGTTCACTCTCTGTCTGTTCAAATCATCTTTTGTGGCCTTGCTGGTTGTTGATTTTGATTTTGAATGCTTCCGGTATTGCCAATAGATAAGGTAGAAAAAGTGTTTAGAAAAACTTCTCATCTGTCTGAGCTCGTAAACATGGAGATGCCACTGGATCTGTGTAATATAATTCTGCCTTTTTCTGTTCTTTTTTTCTCATGTTGCTCTTCTTGTTTTTGTGTGCATTTAACTTTTATTGATCTATATACCTTTACAAAAGGTCCCTTTTTGCACATTTTGCGCAAATTTTGTCTTTTGTGGAACACGAATGTAGAAAATTTATCCAAAGAGTCTTCCTTCCACTTTCATTATCCTGTTTGATTAAACTAAAGTTTTTATGATTTTGTGTGTTTTTTTGATTTCCTCGTGAAAAATTGGTCTTCCTCTCTTTTATCGTTTTCTTCTCTTGTTTTGAAATTTTTTGCTTTCGCAACAATTTAGTTGTATGAATCCCATGGGTCCTCTTCTGACTTAAGTAGAAAACATGATGTTTTGATTGAGTTGGTCTTCGTTGTTTTTTTTGTGATCTATTCCTTTCTCTCTTTTTTGCGTGATCATACGCGTCCGAAGGTGAGCGTCTTTTTCTTAGCACTTCTCGGACATTTTTTCATTGATCATGTTGATGATTCATTGATGATTCGACTAATCATTTTTTCATTGATGATTCGACTTTCCGCGCAGTCTCAGGTAACAGTTCGACAAAGTCCGCATGGAATTGCAAATTTCCCAATTTTCTACTTAGTGCATACAAGATTGTATCTTTCGAAGTCGATGAATTTTGTTATTAAGACTGCGTCCTCCAGGTTTTCTACCAAATCTGTTGAGGATTCTGGAATCTATAATTTTGTTTTGGACTTTGGGGTCAGCATCTCACCAAGTAAGTAAGTTGCACAGCACACCCATCTTGCCTTGCTTTTAGGACCTTGTTTTTCCAGCCTACTCTTTCTTCTTGATTTCTCACTTATCTTTTTTCTTTTGTGCCTTTGTATCTCCGTAGATTTTTTTGTATTCAGTTCTAAGAAAATTAGAGTCCAAGCGGATTGATAAACCGTAGAACTAGCTAACTACGACTTAAACTTAGTGAAGAAACACCCGTTTTGGAACTTGTTGTTCCCAGTTATGATCTGTAAACTTCATCGCTACAAATAAGAGGCTGTCATGAATCACCGTCTTTTGACCGTAATAACATGGTAAACTATATATGTTTATAAATATTATAACATAATAACCCTTAGTTCAAGTTTCGCGCAACCCCATCAGATGAAAGGTATTTCATGGTTCTATGAGTGACATATACAGGGGCTGCCGGGCTACCGAACTCAGGGACTGCCAAAACTCGATAAAATCGAAGAGTCGAACTAAATAACTACAACTGTAGTATATAAGTAAGATTGTACTTATAAGGGATCTTATCCGATCCAGAGTTGACCTTTAGTGACCAAAGGCTTTTAATGTGTATAAGGATAATAGTTTTGTTAACTAACGTAACAAAAAAGAGTAGGTCTGTATCTCAACACAGATGGACAGACAGATGAACAAAAGTTTTAGCACCATGTGAGATAGCTTAGCACGGCTGGTGGGCGACCTTGACGCCACTGCAATAACTGCAGCAAGAATGCAACGAATAAACCTGATATGTTGTATGCGTGACATGACAATGAGGAGACTATCTTGAATATATCAAAAATTGTATACATAAGAGCTTTTTTGAAACAACAAATTGAAAAAGACAAGAGTTTGAAAAACCATAGGAATTAAATGGAAAAAAATATGCATAAGATTGCTGTTATGTTCGTTCCGACTTCGGAAATGGGAAAGAGCTTTGTGTTCGGGTTTGTTTTAGTTTCGTCTGTTATTTTAAAATTTTTTGTATCAGAAACCATGAATAAATGTCAGGTGGGTCCGATTGATTAGAATAATTCGAAATAGCGTCAAAATGGCTCATCTTTTTTCAAGCTCCTCGAATCAGAGATTTCACTTAAGTTCTTAGACTTACCAGGAGTGGTGAAAACAGTTTCGACGCTTCGTGCTGAATATTCTACGTTTTCATCAGCATTACATGAAGCATAGTAGGACACATAGTAGTCGCATCGCGCTTTCAGATCAGTAAATTTCTCGGTGTGAGAGTCTGAGTCATGGTAAGGGTAGTAGTAATGGTAGATTTTGTGCAGGATTGATTTGTCGGCCGCACACGCTCCTAGTTAAGGAAGGAAGAATTTACTTTACAGTGTCACCTCATGATAGCATCGTGAAAAAACATAACGCTCACAAAAGATAGAGTAAGGTCAACCCTTCAAATCAAATAACCTTGAATCACAAATTTATCACAATCTCCAAACGATTAAACAACCTTTTTGCCAATTGTTGAATCGATTCCTTTTTCATTTTTCAAACGAGTGCGATTACTAACCAGGAAACCAGGTACACTTTGGTCTTTGGTTTTTCTCTTCTGAATATAACTAATAACATTCAGTCAGTCACTATTGTACCAATCCCAATCAAAAGGGGTGGACGTTTGCAAAAAAAATGAAGACATTGAAAAACAAATCCCTCGAAGTGTGATGTTTAGAGAACGGAAGTTGCCAGAGGTCACTCCAAATCCACTGATGGTAAGTGAAGTCGCGGTAGAGTCACTCAAGGTCAAAGAGTCAAGGACACGAGCTACTTCTAAAGACAATTTAAGAAATTTTCACTTGACAAAAGTAATTAAAATGCAATGACAGTATAAAATAACGGCACACGAATGAGGATTTCAAAAAGTATACTGTAATTAAAGACAAGTGTGACAAGACTGCTCGAATTAGGCCTTTTAACGTTTATGGAGCTGTAATAACATATACAACATAAGAAATTTCAACCAATTTGTAACGATTTCTAAGACGGATTAAATCTCCGCTTACGCCTTAATAGCGCGAATTATATCGCGCGTTAATTATCCCAAATTAACCAAAATGGCCAAAGTTGCAATCTTTAAACATTCATAACTTAATGAAAAACGATTACAGGTGAAATATTTTATCAAATTTAAGCTCAGGACAACAATAGCTTTCGAATGATTTAAATAAATTCCGTCAAAAATGGCTAGTTAGTAAGTCGAAAATTGTCTAAAGGAAAAAAAACCAACCCGAGCACAAATATTCCGTTACTTTCGTATCGAAAATCGGGAAAATAAGCGCTAAATATTAGCGCTATATAATAGTAGCTGATTAAATATATATATTCACCGACTAAAAGGGCTTCAATGTGATATATAGACGGAAACATTAAAATAAATATATGGGTTAAAGGTTTTTGCAATGACAGTATCAAAATAAGAGACAGCATCGTGTCTCTTATCGGATAAACATAGTAGGACACATATGTTTATCAAAAAAAGTCGAAATGGTTCATTAAAACGGTTTATGAAAAATATCGTTTTCCATATCCTTAAAACAGTATATGAAAAATATCGTTTTCCATATCGCTAAAACGTACATGAAAAATATCTTTTTCCATATCGTTTAAACGTATATGAAAAATAATCTTTTCCATAACATTTAAACGTTTATGAAAAAAATTGTTTTCCATATCGCTAAAATGATATATGGAAAATATCGTTTTCCATATCGTTTAAACGCATATGGAAAACATTGTTTTCCATATCGTTAAAACGATATATGAAAAATATCTTTTTCGATGTCGTTAAAACGTATAAGAAAAATATCGTTTTCCATATCGTTTAACCCTACATGAAAAATATTGTTTTCCATATCGTTTAAACGTATATGAAAAAAATCGTTTTCCAGATCATTAAAACGATATAGGAAAATTATCGTTTTTCATATCGCTCAAACGTATAAGGAAAATATCGTTTTAAATATCGTTAAAACGGTATATGAAAAATATAGTTTTCCATATCGCTTAAACGTATGTGAAAAAAAAGTTTTCCATATCGTTAAAACGTGTATGAAAACAATCGATTTCCAGATCATTAAAACGATATATGAAAATTATCGTTTTCCATATCGTTCAAACGTATGTGGAAAATATCGTTTTCCATATCGTTAAAACGGTATATGAAAAAATCGTTTTCCATATCGTTAAAACGGTATATGAGAAATATCGTTTTCCATATCATTAAACGATATAAAAAAGTTATCGTTTTCCATATCGTTCAAACGTATGTGGAAAATATCGTTTTCCATATCGTTAAAACGGTATATGAAAAAATCGTTTTCTATATCGTTAAAACATTGTATGAAAAATATCGATTTCCGTATCATTAAAACGATACAAGAAATAAATCGTCTTCCATATCATTTAAACGTATATGGACAATATCGTTTTCCAAATCGTTGAAACGGTATATGAAACAAATCGTTTTCCATATCGTTAAAACGGTATATGAAAAATATCAATTTCCATATCATTAAAACGATATAAGAAAGTTATCGTTTTCCATATTGTTCAAACGTATATGAAAAATATCGTTTTCCATATTGTTTAAACGGTATATATATATATAAAAAATCGTTCTCCATATCGTTAAAACGTAAAAGAAAAATAATGTTTTCGATATCGTTGAAACGTATATGAAAAATATCGTTTTTTCAAATCATCCAAACGATTCATGAAATAAATTGTTTTCCATATCGTTTAAACGTATATGGACAATATCGTTTTCCATATCGTTAAAACGGTATTTGAAAAATATTGTTTTCCATGTTGTTAAAACTCATATGAAAAATATCGTTTTCCATATCATCTAAACGATACATGAAATAAATCGTTTTCCATATCGTTTAAACGTATATGGACAATATCGTTTTCCATATCGTTAAAACGGTATTTGAAAAAATTGTTTTCCATATCGTTAAAACGGTATATGAGAAATATCGTTTTCCATATCGCTAAAACGTACATGAAAAATATCTTTTTCCATATCGTTTAAACGTATATGAAAAATAATCTTTTCCATAACATTTAAACGTTTATGAAAAAAATTGTTTTCCATATCGCTAAAATGATATATGAAAAATATCGTTTTCCATATCGTTTAAACGCATATGGAAAACATTGTTTTCCATATCGTTAAAACGATATATGAAAAATATCTTTTTCGATGTCGTTAAAACGTATAAGAAAAATATCGTTTTCCATATCGTTTAACCCTACATGAAAAATATTGTTTTCCATATCGTTTAAACGTATATGAAAAAAATCTCTTTCCAGATCATTAAAACGATATAGGAAAATTATCGTTTTTCATATCGTTCAAACGTATGTGGAAAATATCGTTTTCCATATCGTTAAAACGGTATATGAAAAATATAGTTTTCCATATCGCTTAAACGTATGTGAAAAAACGTTTTCCATATCGTTAAAACGTGTATGAAAACAATCGTTTTCCAGATCATTAAAACGATATATGAAAATTATCGTTTTCCATATCGTTCAAACGTATGTGGAAAATATCGTTTTCCATATCGTTAAAACGGTATATGAAAAAATCGTTTTCCATATCGTTAAAACAGTATATGAAAAATATCGATTTCCGTATCATTAAAACGATACATGAAATAAATCGTCTTCCATATCATTTAAACGTATATGGACAATATCGTTTTCCAAATCGTTGAAACGGTATATGAAACAAATCGTTTTCCATATCGTTAAAACGGTATATGAAAAATATCAATTTCCATATCATTAAAACGATATAAGAAAGTTATCGTTTTCCATCTTGTTCAAATGTATATGGAAAATATCGTTTTCCATATTGTTTAAACGGTATATATATATAAAAAATCGTTCTCCATATCGTTAAAACGTAAAAGAAAAATAATGTTTTCGATATCGTTGAAACGTATATGAAAAATATCGTTTTCCAAATCATCCAAACGATTCATGAAATAAAATGTTTTCCATATCGTTTAAACGTATATGGACAATATCGTTTTCCATATCGTTAAAACGGTATTTGAAAAATATTGTTTTCCATGTTGTTAAAACTCATATGAAAAATATCGTTTTCCATATCATCTAAACGATACATGAAATAAATCGTTTTCCATATCGTTTAAACGTATATGAAAAATATCGTTTTCCAAATCATCCAAACGATTCATGAAATAAATTGTTTTCCATATCGTTTAAACGTATATGGACAATATCGTTTTCCATATCGTTAAAACGGTATTTGAAAAAAATTGTTTTCCATATCGTTAAAACGGTATATGAGAAATATCGTTTTCCATATCATTGAAACGATATATGAAAGTTATCGTTTTCCATATCGTTCAAACGTATGTGGAAAATATCGTTTTCCATATCGTTAAAACGGTATATGAAAAAATCGTTTTCCATATCGTTAAAACAGTATATGAAAAATATCGATTTCCGTATCATTAAAACGATAAATGAAATAAATCGTCTTCCATATCATTTAAACGTATATGGACAATATCGTTTTCCAAATCGTTGAAACGGTATATGAAACAAATCGTTTTCCATATCGTTAAAACGGTATATGAAAAATATCAATTTCCATATCATTAAAACGATATAAGAAAGTTATCGTTTTCCATATTGTTCAAACGTATATGAAAAATATCGTTTTCCATATTGTTTAAACGGTATGTTTATATAAAAAATCGTTCTCCATATCGTTAAAACGTGAAAGAAAAATAATGTTTTCGATATCGTTGAAACGTATATGAAAAATATCGTTTTCCAAATCATCCAAACGATTCATGAAATAAATTGTTTTCCATATCGTTTAAACGTATATGGACAATATCGTTTTCCATATCGTTAAAACGGTATTTGAAAAAATTGTTTTCCATATCGTTAAAACGGTATATGAGAAATATCGTTTTCCATATCATTAAAACGATATATGAAAGTTATCGTTTTCCATATCGTTCAAATGTATATGGAAAATATCGTTTTCCATATTGTTTAAACGGTATATATATAAAAAATCGTTCTCCATATCGTTAAAACGTAAAAGAAAAATAATGTTTTCGATATCGTTGAAACGTATATGAAAAATATCGTTTTCCAAATCATCCAAACGATTCATGAAATAAATTGTTTTCCATATCGTTTAAACGTATATGGACAATATCGTTTTCCATATCGTTAAAACGGTATTTGAAAAATATTGTTTTCCATGTTGTTAAAACTCATATGAAAAATATCGTTTTCCATATCATCTAAACGATACATGAAATAAATTGTTTTCCATATCGTTTAAACGTATATGGACAATATCGTTTTCCATATCGTTAAAACGGTATTTGAAAAAAATTGTCTTCCATATCGTTAAAACGGTATATGAGAAATATCGTTTTCCATATCATTGAAACGATATATGAAAGTTATCGTTTTCCATATCGTTCAAATGTATATGGAAAATATCGTTTTCCATATTGTTTAAACGGTATATATATAAAAAATCGTTCTCCATATCGTTAAAACGTAAAAGAAAAATAATGTTTTCGATATCGTTGAAACGTATATGAAAAATATCGTTTTCCAAATCATCCAAACGATTCATGAAATAAATTGTTTTCCATATCGTTTAAACGTATATGGACAATATCGTTTTCCATATCGTTAAAACGGTATTTGAAAAAATTGTTTTCCATATCGTTAAAACGGTATATGAGAAATATCGTTTTCCA